AAAAAAACTGGTTGCTTGTTTCTGTTTCTAAGTATGTATCACCGTATCTGCACATTCGAACTGCATGTTCAGGTCCGTACTCGCTTCCAAGCTCGCTTAGAAGATGGACCCAACTTGGAAGCACTAGGTATACTTTTATTTATCTTTATTTTTCGATCCGAACCTGAACTTGTCGAAACCTGGAGAGCGGGAACCTCAAAGTACCCATACAAATTGATTTTGTAGGTTTGCGCTCAACTTCTTAATACTGTATGCGGCACAGATTAAAGCAAAACTCAGTCTTATTGTGAAAAAAGAAATGCTTTAGCAGTATCGAAATTTTAACTTTTAAGGGAAAAATCTTAAACCAATGATCTGATAAGAGTAATTCTTTGTTGGATATTTCTATCGAGCAAACATTCTAGGGAAAAATTCTACTCCGGTATCGAAACCTCCAAGACCAGTATTTCTGCTTAATTTGAAGAAGAATACCGGCGATACGGTCGACATTGCAGTGATGAATGTTGGTTTCTTACCGAATTTTCGTTTTCTTTAAATTCATCTTATTTTTTGTTTTATTTGTAATCTTCAGACAGACAACGCTGCTAGATTAGCAAAAGAGTTAGGCAGAAAGCATGGTTTTACTGATGACCAATGTAGAATGCTCCGTCTCACACTTGAGAGGGAACTTGAGGCTAGACTTGGCCTTTAATCTACCGTCACAGTTCACTTCTGATTTAAATCATTCAACTGCCAAGTAATCAGCTTTACGATTGGGTAGTCAACGTGGTTACTGTAATAGTGTAAAGTGCATTAACGCGGTCTGTGATATATCAAGAACTTGTTATCATTTGTTCTCTCGACTCCTCATTGTCATAATCTACTTCTTACACTGAACTCATAATACTTTATGGTTGCCTATTTTTCATCATTTGTAATTACCTCACTTTTCTTTTCTTTTCTTTTTGTCATCAATGGTGTAATTTTACTAGTTTCAAAGCTGCCCGATTCGACTTTTTTT